TTTGGCATCAACAGTAAGACGGCTGTTGTTCAGGTACCCAGGCATGCACTTGGTGTGGTCTGGCAGGAAGCACCCTTTCAGGGGCACTTAACTCTAAGAGGAGTTAGAGAGTAGGACATTAACACCCAGCAGTGAGCAGAGTTACCCTCCTATTTCTGAGGTCCTTTCATGTCCAAAATTGTGAAACCTAAAGCTAGACTTTTAGTTTAGGGATATTTTGGACTTTTTAAAGAAACATTTACAGAGGTTTTCTCATTTGCTCACAATGCCCTCTTAGGCAGGCAGCTTTTCCCATAGTCCATTGTGTGGTCCAAATTAGTGCCAAGGGCTTCTGGGTCCAGCATTTCCAGCAGCTGAGAGAGACCCTTGGGGGCATAGATAAGTCATCTGAGTCTGCAGCCATAGTGTCATGAAAGCACCTCCAGGTGGCTGTGAAATGAAGCTCTTTTGCCTTGACCTGTGGGAACTATGTAAATTCTGAGAATTCCCAGCATACAGAGAAGATCAGGGTGGGATCATTAAGCATGGTGGCATGTTGTGATAACTAGGGGGTCTCCTTTTGGCTTGCTTTCCCAATTAAAGGTGGAACATATTTGTAAAATGAAAAATGTGACGTTGATGAGCTGAGTGGCTGTCATTCAGCACTGCTTACAATTTATTTAGCTAATCATTTTGTTACTACCTAGCAAAATAACTGGTATGCTGGAAGGAATTAACATCCTTCTGGCTGTTACAGTGTAAACCTAGCGGTTGCTGTCATTATAACCTGCCTGAAGGGTAGAGTCAAGGATGACTGAACCTTCATTTGTCTCGGAAATGGACATAAGTTTGTTATGATCAATGTCTAGGCAAAGGAGTAAGGCATGTGAACTACTAAAGTTGTATGGGATTGGCTTAATGAGCTGCTCTTTTTATATGTACATTCTCAAAGGTAAATTCAGTCCTTTCTCATTATCTTTAAAGATAATAGTATAAAGATGCTATCACCAAATGGAAGCTGTGGTTTTAAGAAAGCCCAAGCCCCTGTGTTCAAAATAGTTATATATCAGGGGAACCACCTTTAGAGCAATTTGCACATGAATGAGATGTTCCCGTGGAGAAAATGTATTCTCTGGGTTGACTGCCATCCTGTTTAATGCATAATATGGAGGCAATGAGAAGAGATTAGGAACTACAGAGCCTCACTTGTGGAAGTCATAAGGAATATGAATTTTAAAAGCTCCATCCCATCTGCTGCCTACATTTCTTTTTTCCATAGTGTTTACAATGTCCTAATTTTAGTTATTTTCATTCTTGATTGTCTCTCTGTCCCTGTGAACCCACAAGGGCAGATGTCTTTGTGTTGAATCTCCTGAACCCACGGTCTCCCAAGATATGTAGTAGGATGAGTCAGACCTCCCAATGTTTTCACCTAAACCGGGAACACTTCAAATGATGGGAATACTGAGTCATCCTCAGGCACCTGCTGCTTGGCTAGCCTCAACCAAGAGCCAATTTGCAGTCTGTTCTTCACCGGAACAGCATCTCCTTATAGACCCATTCCTGAGGCATAGCAGGTCAGAATCAGGCCCAGTAGACACATGTTAGGAAAGGGGATGGGGGTGGTGATGGTGGGTGATAAACAATGATCAGGTCACAGTTAAAATTACCCATCGACTTGGGAGTTTTGCAGGATCCGAAGTGCCATTAAATCCACTTTTTTCCATCTGGGACCAGTAAAAAAAATGCCATCTACCTCTTTAATGAAACAGACTTTTTTCTTTTTCATTTATAACAAACGCTTATTATTAAAACGTCTCAAATGTTTTCCTTGGGTTGAAATCAAATTTATAATAGCCTGTACGTCATCCCCTAGAGATAGCGAACCCAACTCATGAGGGAGCCTGTGTTTATGAGGAAGAAGGGGGCTACACTTATGTTTTCATACATGTGGGTACAAGAATGGAACAACCTGGAAATGTGAAAACTGCGGGCTTTGAGAAGCGGCTGTATGTGTTGTGAAGCTTTACCATCTGAGGCAGAGTCCCAACCTGGCCAGATAAGCTGTTTGCCTAGAGCATCTTTCTGTGGGTTGGTGTTTTGTATCTTGAAATGAATGAAATTGCTTCCCCAGGCCTGGAACACATCTGTTTGGGTGTTGTTCTGGGTATATACTTGAACCCATTTATTATTAAAGAGGTTTGAGTTTGTAGTGGATTTGATGAGAGTTTTTCTTTTTCAGCACCCATGATGAATTTCTTCACCTGAAAATATAATGCATTTTGATGCTATTTCTATGGCAACCAGTGAACGCCAAGGGAACAAATTCTATGTTTGTTTTCTTTCTTTCTTTTTTTGAGACGGGAGTTTCGCTCTTGTTACCCAGGCTGGAGTGCAATGGCGTGATCTCGGCTCACCGCAACCTCCGCCTCCTGGGTTCAGGCAATTCTCCTGCCTCAGCCTCCTGAGTAGCTGGGATTACAGGCACGCACCACCATGCCTAGCTAATTTTTTGTATTTTTAGTAGAGACAGATTTCACCAAGTTGACCAGAATGGTCTCGATCTCTTGACCTGGTGATCCACCCGCCTCGGCTTCCCAAAGTGCTGGGATTACAGGCGAGAGCCACCGCGCCCGGCCTCTATCTTTGTTTTCTAATGTGGTAACAGGATTAGTGGAGGCACCCCAAAACTCCATTATAAGTCAGTGCTGTGTTTTGAAGAGAATTGAAATGGTCCAGTACTAACTTTTTAACATTGGCTTCGAATACACTTCTAATAATCTACATGTCAGCTTACTGTCGGTGTTAAATGTCATTTGGGCAGGAGGGAGTGCTAGATGGGAGCTTCTTTTTAATCCCCCGTGTATCCCCACTATAGTCCTTAGGGATTTCATTTTCTGCGTTTCAAAAGTAACGTACACCTCTGTCATTAGGGGTTCATGTGCCCAGCCTGTGGCCCCTGCCCCACCCTTAAGCCTAAGGGAGTCAAATGGTTTTTATGTGTCTGTCCTGCCTTGAAACCAAACCTCTCTAAGAACTAAAACAAAAATGTGAATTACACCTTGCCCTTCAGGCTGCTTTGTTGGAAAGCATTCCCTGACTTAAGCCCCTTGCTGAGAGGCTTTAGCACCCTGTGAAGTACCCCTCTTTTCCTTCCTGTCTGTGCAGGCAGGGACCTGACTGTGGGTGGTGCCCTGTGGGCAGAACCCAGACGCTGGGGGCTTTAATGTTCTTACAAGCACACTTCTCCGGGCCTTTCCTAGCTTCCATTCTCCTGGTTTTATCAGATCTGTTAGGGTAGTGCAAAAGTAATTGCGGTTTTGTTTTGTTTTTGTTTTTTACCAAAACAGCAATTACTTTTGCACTAACCTAGCTACCATGAGAGTGGTTTTGAGTAGGGAAGTAATACCCATCTATTTTCTGATTTTTAAGTAGCTAAGGAGCCTAGCTTTCTACTGGAATCATTTGGAAAGGTCATGGGAGAAACATCTCAAGCTTGCCTAGATTCTCTCTTCTGGGCCTGGCCTCTGCCTCAGGGCACTAGTTGTCAGAACCCAGAAACAGACCTGTGGGGCCTGGGCCAGGAAGTGGGGGGTGCTGAACAAAGGCAACCAGAGGTAAAAGACATGAAGCATTTCTAATATGGCTCTGTAGTCTTTCCCTGGGTAATGAACCAAGAAACTGTACCTGACTTTGTTTAGCTCTCATGTTCAGAGGCGGAGGAGGGGGCTTGCCTGTAGCAGCCACCTTGGCACAGTGGAGACCTGGTGGCTGTGGAGGGCTAAGGAGTCGGTGCCTGCTCCTCTGACCTTTCCCTCCCTTCAGCAGATGGTACTGTTGCGTGTTCTCTCTCTGGTGCCAGTGAAAAAGCTCGTTCATGCCATTCACAGAGTAGTCTGCTCAGAACTCAGCCCTCCTCCATCTGCTGGGGCAGGCACCCATCACTTTGCTTAGTGGCCACCCTCGGGCGTTGACTTCCTCCTTTCAGCAGCCCTGCATGTCTGGTGGGCAACACACCAGCCTTTGTAGCACCAGCTGCTCGGCTGGTTTGGTAAGAACAAGGGAAGACTATGAAGCTGTTCTGTTATCTGCACACCAGCAGGAGAAGCCAGCAGAGGGTATGGATGGGCTTAGGGCAGTGTCTGTAGTTCCGGGTGAATTCTGCCTGTGCCTCTTAAACAGCTTCTGGGTAGGAGCTGATTTTTGATGGGTAATTGTCCAAGTTTATAACTGGATCCTGTGTTTCGGTTCTCACCTACTTACTTACTTATTTTTTGAGACAGGGTCTTGCTCTGTCATCCAGTTTGGAGTGCAGATTATATAGCTCACCGCAGCCTAGAACTCCTAGCCTTAGGTGATCCTTCCCAGCACCCCCATAAATCCTTTCAAAGTTGCAGATGTGATAGTAACTCTATGTACTTCAGCAAACATCTGTTCAGGACGTTCTGTTTTGAAAGCAGAGACCGGAACATGGATTTGTATGACCATGTTCATAGCAGCACTATGTACAGTAGCCAAAAGGTATTATAGAAGCAACTCATGTCCATTGATGGATGGGTAAGTAGGCAAAATGTGAAGTATTGATCATAATCAGCCTTAAAATGGAATGAAATTCAGGCCTGGTGCGACAGATCGCCTGAGGTCAGGAGTTTGAGACCAGTCTGACCAACATGGTGAAACCCCATCTCTACTAAAAATACAGAAATTAGCCAGGCGTAGTGGCACATATCTCTAGTCCTAGCTGCTCAAGAATGCAGAGGCACAAGAATTGATGAACCTGGGAGGTGGAGGTTGCAGTGAGCCTATATCACCACTGCATTCCAGCCTGGGTGACAAAGGGAGAGATTCTCTTTAAAAAAAAAAAAAAAAGAAAGAAATTCAGAGGTGCTACGATGTGGATAAACTTTGAAGACATCATGCCAAGTGAAATACGACAACCCCAAAAGGACAAATACTGTATGATTTCACTCACTCGAGGTACCAATAGGAATCACTTTTCATAGAGACAGAAAGTAGGATGGTGGTTGCCAGTTATTTAATGGATATATGGGGTACAGAGTTTGTTTTATGAGGTGAACGAGTTCTGAAGCACCCAGTGTGGTGGCTGAGCTATAGTCCCAGCACTTTGGGAGGCTTAGGCAAGAAGATTTCTTGAGCCCAGGAGTTTGAGAGCAGTCTGAGTACCATAGCAAGACCCTGTCTTAAAACAAAAAATACATAAATTAAAAGGTTCTGTATCATGGTTGCATAACAGTGTAAATGTACTTAATGCCACCAAACTATGCAGTAAAAAATTGTTAAAGTGGTAAATTTTGTTACATTTATTTTTACCATGAGATTATTAAAGTTTTTACTATTTTTTTAAAAAAGAATAAAGATACTATTCTCTAAAACTCCATAAATATTTTTGCATACGGGAAACTCAACAATGATTGTATCCCGTGTTGATAGTTCCCATGTGTTTCCCCCATTCACAAAGGTTCACACATCACAGGCAATGTGTTAATAGTAATGCTATGTTAATATTTTCTCTTAAATAGGTATATTTAGTTGAGCAGGTTGATTTAAAGCACAGGCGGGCTTGTGGGTGGTGAACGTGGTGGGTGTGAAACTGGGGTCTAACCATCCTGAATGTGTAGTATTCCCCATCCCTGTGGCCCCAGAGTGGAGTTTTTTAAATGCCTACCCTTCCCCTCCTAGCCAGTGAAACATTGTAGATTTTCACAGGTCAGCACTAACCTTGTGTCTTTTGAGCATCAAAAATGTGGCTAGTGCTACTGAGGAAATGAATTACTTTAATTAAGTTCTAATTAATTTTCAAAATTGATGCTCAGTTAATGAAAAATATCCAGATGTGTTGGGGATACCTTGGGTATGTGAATCTACTTTTTTAGCTGCAAGTTTTATGGAATCTAAATGCAGATCACATATTTTGCATAAAAATTTAGCACCCGAGGCCAGGTATGGTGGGTCACGCCTGTATTCCCAGCACTTTGGGAGGCCTAGGTGGGTGGATCACCTGAGGTCAGGAGTTAAAGACCAGCTTGGTCAACATGGTGAAACCATGTGTCTACTAAATATACAATAATTAGCCCGGCATGGTGGCGGGTGCCTGTAATCTCAGCCACTGGGGGGCTGAGACAGGAGGATTGCTTGAACTCAGGAGGGGGAGATTGCAGTGAGCCAAGATCGCACCATTGCCCTCCAGCCTGGGTGACAGAGCAAAACTCCGTGTTAAAAAAAAAAAAAAGCACCCAAATTGTGCTGTGACTGTGGGGCATGCACACGTAGATTTCACAGATTTAGTGGGGAGAAAAAAGGTTACACATTTACATGTCGAAATGGTGTTTTGGATATGTTGAGTTCAGTGAAATATACTAGTAAGCTTACCTACTTTTCTCTGTTAATGTGGCTCCCAGAAAATTTAAAATAGCCTGAGTAGCCCACATTAGATTTCCGTTGGATATGCACAAATGTGCAAGTATGGAGTTCCACTTCTTCCATGCACCAGCCACCTTCCTCTCTCATGTCCTGCACCTGATCCCCCTCTTACTTCCCTGTCTATGCTGCTGAAGTCTCTTTCTCATCTTCTGTGCTAATAAGGCCTCCACCCTGTGATACCACGGTGCCTGATTATGGCCTTGCCGTAGCACCATTCTGGCTCCTCTGTGTTAGGCCAGCTCAGGGAAGGAGCTCTACTGCTTTCCTCATCTGCTTGGTGTGGAGGGGACTGTACTGATATGTGTTGCTGGATACCTGAGGAAAAACCTTTGCCCCCTTCTGTCTGGCATTTGGCCATGGGTCCATAGACGGACAGAGGCATGGGAAGAACTGGTGGGAGGGATGGGGCACCTGCTTGATATGGCTCCCTCCCTGGACAAGGCAAGCGTAGCATGGCATCTGAGAGAACCTAGGAATGACTTAGGAAGCTGGGGAAGGCCCGTGGGCCTCATGTTGCTCTCTGACTCCCCACACACGCCCCCAAAGCAGTTACTAAACTCAGAGTGGGCACCTAACTAAGACATGTGTCTCTCCTGCTGTGCCTTGGGCCCCCACCCATCCCTGGCCATTTAAGTCCTCCTTTTAAAGTATTTTTTCCCCTTGGTTTCTGATTGATAATTATATACAAGGTATTTCATGGAGTTGGAAAAAACATATATAAAGTAATAATAAAAATTAGCCAAAGATATCTTATCTTGCCATCTTTTTTCTACTCAGGGATGTGCATGTTTTCTTTTATTCTTTCATTCTGTGTGCTAGACCCTAGTCTAAAGCTTTATCTGATGCACCTTATTTCTACATCCTTAGATATTTCTTCCCTTTGTTTGTTTTTTGACATGGGTCTGTCTCTGTCACTTAAATTGGAGTGCAGTGGTACATTTTCGGCTCTGTCTCCCAGGCTCCAGTGTACCTGGGACCACAGGTGTGCACCATCCTTCCTCCTCAGCCTCCAGAATACCTGGGACCACAGGTGTGCAAAACCATCTCTACCAAAAATACAAAAAAATAACTAATTTTTTGTATTTTTGGCAGAGATGGTTTTGTCATGTTGCCCAGTCTGGACTTGAACTCCTGAACTTAATCACATTTTTAGTAGAAAGGTGATGAGGCATTCCTAGGGAGTGCTACAGGTTCCATGGGAGTGTGATAGTCACTGCCCTGGGTTTTGGTTTCTGTTGGTCGGAAAGTTCCTTACCAGTAAGTGGATGTTACTCCTCAGTGAACTCAAAGGACAAGCTGGCCACATCTGCAGGGGAGTAAACTTAGGTAGTATGATGGACTCTGAGTCTGCAAGATGCCAGTTCGGCTGCACCTGAGGATCCCTTGGGGCACAGCACCCAGGGCTGCTCTGCGAGTGGCTGCAGCCTGCAAACGCTGGAGACATGAGGAAGGGTGCGCACAGTGAGGAGATGAGGCACGCTGTGTGTCTTTTCTCTCCAGCACCTCATACACTCACCTGTCAGGGTGAGAGTTGAGGGGCTTGACTTCTGTGGGCTATTTATTTTGTGGAAGTTAGAGTGGAATTAAAGGCAGACAAGAACATGGTTCTCATGAAGCGATAGATCCCTGCCAAGTTTTTTGCTTCCTTAGCTGTTCTCATCTGAAATGGTGTAAGTTTCATTTCATTCTGCTGCTTTTACATTCTGAAAGTTACTGAGATGAGAGGGTGACAGCCATTTACATCCAAGCATTCCTCTGCAGCTGATTCAGAGTAGACGCTGGATGTGTCTGCTTCTTGTATGATGTACTCAGTCTGCAAGAAGGCCTCCCAGCAGTGCATCAAGGGAGTTATCTGGATGGCTTGCTTTTACCTGAAGAAAGGGAAGGGTGAAAGTGAGGTTAACATTGCCTGGAAGGTGGGGACCCCTTGGCCTATTTCCCTAGGACCGCACTGACCATCAAAGGCTTCTGTAAAGATGTAGGAATGGCCTTTTGTGTACCCTTGGGGGTGTGGATCAGATATAAATCCAGCAATTGAGACAGTGTCAGCTCTCACTGACTGGTCATCTTTGGGCCTTGGATCAGTCTTCAGTTCCTACTTTGTCAGTCAGGAACTTGAGGGTCTTTGGAAGCTGGAAGCTCTGATGTTAATTTAGCGTAGTTTTCTGTGTGTTCCCTTTTCTCCCCCCACAAAAAAAAGCCATGCCCTTCCTCTTCCTGATCCCCATAGATTGGATTCTGTACCTGGTGAGTGGTGAGGGCAAGATGAGAAGAGTCATCTTGCCTGAAGGCACTTCTTGAGTGTCTGGATACTGACTGGTATAACCTTTTTTCCAGATCTTTCTTTTAAAATTACAATGAAGTGCCCAGGGTAGTATCATTGAAGAAAAGATTAACGTCACCTCTTCATCGAGATACCCAGGCTCCAGTATCTCTGCGCCCTGAGTCAGTGTGTGTTCCTGGCTTCTTGGCATGGCTCCATCTCTCCTCGTGGCCATCAAAGGTCTAGTTTGGCTTTCCCACCCAGCAGGGGCTCTTGGTGGTCATGGTTAAAATGTTGCTGGGTGTATTGGGTTATGGTGTCTCTAGAAACACTTGTGCTAGCCCTGTGCCCTTTTGTGTCCCCAATGAGTGTAGGCAGGTTCCAGAGACAACTTGAGTCAGCCAGCAGCTGCTTTGCTGCTTTGAGAAGAAACTTAGAGGCATGATACACTCTTGCTTACTCATCCAGGCTGCTTCTCAGTGGGTGAAATTTAGAGCAGTTGATTGAAATGTCACCTTTCCCACTTGTGGGTCTGTTTCAGGAGCTCAGTTTTGTTTCCACTTACACGTAACAGGCCTGTGGGTTAAGCTGGTGTGTTTTGGAACATTTCTGCCCCCGGCAGTGTTGTCATGAACCATACAGATTATCATTTGCATTTCACTTGTCTCCCTCTTGGCTTCCCAGATCCCCAAAGGGCATGATCTTGACCACTTACCTGGAAGTTGGCATATAGTTTTAAATTTAAATGAGGATTATGAGCTTAGTTCTTATGCTTTTGTTTGAAATGGGAAAATTCCAGAAGACCAGTGTGATGTCATCCTGAGAAATGTTCTGATCGACACCAGGGGCAGCCCAAGACTGAGTTTAAACCCGTTTTTCACTCTTAAACATTCCTCTCATTTTAATTATTTGTGCTAAGAAGCAAACTTCCTCCCCACTCTTGCTGCCTTTGTAGAGTCTTTCATTCTCCAATGTGTCCCTCTGTTTTCTTCCTCCTAGAAAACACCCATCTTAAGCAGAGTGAAGTGCCCAGCTCACTGCCAGCCCCCACATTGTGATAGGCATTGGTCTCTGGCCATCTTGGAGTCTCTCTCAAAGCATGGTTTCAATCCATAAATTTAGAGTCATGTCATATTGTGTTTCATAATTATTTATTATTATTAAAGGCAGAGTCTTACTCTGTTGCCTAGGCTGGAGTGCAGTGGCGGCAGCCTCGAACTTCTGAGCTCAAGCAATGCTTCAGCCTTAGCCTCCCCAGAGCTTAGTAGGACTGTGTGTGCCAGCATGTCCAGCTGTGATTGACATGGTGCAGATGAATCTCAGTGCCACATCCCCCACACCAGCTCTGTTGAAAAGATGATAATTAAAAAGGTGTAAAGTGAAGGCAGATAAAGGAGATGGGGTAATGGCTTTTTTTTTCCTGAGATGGAGAGTCACTCTGTTGCCCAGGCTGGAGTGCAGTGGCTCGATCTCAGCTCACTATGACCACCGGATCCCGGGTTCAAGCGATTTCTCCTGCCTCAACCTCCCATTTAGCTGGGATTACAGGCACACACACCATGCCTGGCTCATTTTTGTATTTTTAGTAGAGATGGGATTTCACCATGTTGGTCAGGCTGGTCATTAAAACCATTGACCTCGTGATCCACCCACCTTGGCCTCCCAAAGTGCTGGGATTACAGGCATGAGCCACTACGCCCAGCCATGGTAATGGCTAAGAGGCAACCAGGAGAAAATGTCACTTTTACCTGTGAAGGGCACAACTGAGTCAGTGAGAATGCATAAATGCATAGTTTGAATTAATGACATATTTCTGTCATAATCTTTCAGCCTTTAATTTGGCTAGGTGTAATGCCTGGAGGGCCAGCTCAACCAGGTAGAAGTAGACAGACACCAAAAGGCCAGTAGGGGCTTGTGAAAGGGGATAGATTGCATAGAGACTGAGTAGTTTTTACATTTGTGCTGGGTGGTTGGTTGGTCTTCATTGTAAGTTGGTGGTGTCATCTACACACCTGCCATCACCTCCGGCTTCATTCTGTAGGTCTGCGTGCACACACAGCTGGCATCATTACCTAATTTCATTTGTAATTTTGCATTCTGCTTTTCTAATGTAACATCACATTCTCTACCCTTCACAAAGCCGAGAAATCTGTGGAATGGGCTGCAAACTATGGCCTGCAGGCCAGTTAGTTTTATTGGCACACAGTGAGGCTCATTTGTTTCAGGATTATTTGTGGCTGCTTTAATGTTATAATGCCAGAATGGACTATTTTAACAGACAGTTTGTCCTGCACTGCTGATGGTATTTGCTCTTTGGTCCTTTATAGGAAAAGTTAGCCTAGTCTGCCCCTGCTGGAATATGTTTTAACCCAACAGTTTTTTTTTTTTTTTTTTTTCTATTTTTGGAGACAGAGTCTTCCTCTGTCGACCAGGCTGGGGTGCACTGGTGAGATCTTGGCTCACTGCAACCTCTGCCTCCTGGGTTCAAGCAGTTCTCCTGCCTCAGCCTCCTGAGTAGCTGGGACTACAGGCGCATGCTGCCATGCCCCACTAATTTTTTTGTATTTTAGTAGAAACGGGGTTTCACTGTGTTCCCCAGGCTGGTCTTGAACTCCTGAGCTCAGGCAGTGCACCTGCCTTGGCCTCCCAAAATTCTGGGATTACAGACATGAGCCATGTCCGGCCTACCGAAAAGTTTTGATCCTGTCCATGTCAAGGTTTTGTTTTGTTTTGGTTTTGCTGCATGCTTTTCACAGGAACACTGTACATTCACGAATCCATCCACCCAGATTTAACCATCAGCAACATGACATAACCCACATGTAACAATGAAACCTTTCACTGTACCTGAGCCACTTGTCCCTCCAGCTGCTGGCAACTTTTGCAGGGAAAAGTTGGTGCAGCATTTTCAGTGCTCCTAGTTTAATTAGCCTGGTGATGAGTTTCTAAAGCAGAGAGACTGGAATTCTGGTTGGTGGGATTGTGGCCTGCCCAGTTTCCTGATCCTCCTGGCTTCAAGGTCCTTGTGTGCCTGTGTCCCCTCCAGTGGGGGACAGAGAGCATGAGTGTGGCTTACACTCTCCCTTAGCAGGAAGGCTGGTATATCTCTGCCTTGGCTTGCCTGATTCAAGGCAAGCTGCAGGGTCTGTGGTACTGCACAGTCAGAGGTAATGGGGCCCCACCACTTGGCTGGTCCAAGGGGTTGGGGGCAGGGTGTGTACACGCTGCATGAAGGAGAGTTAAGGCTTCTAAGAGCTGCCTCCGCCCACGGCCACTGGCCCGGCTCCAGGCAGCGCAGTCTGGCTGATGACATGAGTGCTGTTCTCACCAGCTGCCTGAGCCGGTCAGATGGAAAAGTAATCCTGTTTGTGCTTCCCCACTGACACAGATTGCACAATTAAACAGGGCTGCCGTCATGAATTTGAAGTAGCCGCCGCTCTAGTGCCTAGGAGGGGAATAGACCTTCTGATATTGATGTTGTGTAACCAGCATTTCAGCAAAGAAGTTTCTAGGACAAGATAAGATGTAAGATGTAAATTGCTGTAAATGAATAGTATTGAGAAATTACCAGGTTTTTACCAGTCAGGGTCTCTCATCCCCTTGTTTTTGTCCCTGGGCACAATCTAGCATTCTCCACAAATACTTGTTTATACAAGAGCCTTGGAGCAGTAGAGAGGTGACCTCCTCTACCTGAAGGTTATGTGCGACTGTGACCTTGTGATTTCATAAGGGACTGTAGTCAGTTGGCATTGGCTAGCACTCTGTATGGAATAAAACAAATTTAAGCCATGTCCCTGCAGGCATCTTATTGCTTGGGAAGCATAAATGATAACTTGGTGTCCCTTCTCCTTGCTCCCATACCTCATAGCTTCAGGAGAATGGTATGTTTTAGATTTCGCCTATGACATGGGGTATGTCTCATTGCAGGCAGATGGTCAGGTGCTGCAGGACGTGGTCTCAGCTCTGATTTGTTTATGAAGATGAAATTCTTTGGAAATATTACTACTGGAAGTCTGACTTAAGACCCAGCTTATGGGCCACATGGCACTCACTTCTGTGGGGAAGGCAGGCCACTGATGTGTACAGCAAAGTATGGTGCTACAGTCCAAGCCAAAGACCAGTGTAGGGTGATGAGCCTCTGCCCCTTGTAGGTGTTGCCACTGTGCTTGGTGAGTGGAGGCAGCTGCTGAGCAGAAGACTTGAAGCACATGCTGCTCCAAGTGATGTGCAGCCAACCAGGCCACCATCCACTCTGCTTCTGTCACCATGCGGATGATGATGAAGATGATGAAGTCACAGCCTGCGCTTTAGGGTTGCTGTGTGGATAACGAAGCCAGTATAGATGAAGTGCCAGATAACAACATCAGCCTAGGAAGTGACAGGTACCTACTGTGGAGCTCAGCTAGGCCCTAGTGCATGTTTGTGTGAGGATGGCTTGTGTAAATCTGTGCTAAGTGTGATCACCATATTTTACGGGAGAATTAAGAAAGCCTGTTAACCAGCCATCATCTTGGCGACTGTTCCTGCCTTCCCTGGCATCTCTCTGCCTGTGTGCTCTGTCACTTTAGTAGACGGGTGAGTCTGAACAGACCAGGCAGAATGGAGGTAGGATCACTGGGTTTCAGGAGGCCCACTGGGAGGCCAGGACTTCAGAACCACAAATGCAAAATATAGCTGGTCCCAACCCACTTGGTTTTCTCAGTGACTTATGATGGTTGGAACTGGGAACTGAATCTCTAGCAATCAGCAGATTCTGGGCACTTGTTTGTGGTCTTTCTCTTTTCCTCTCTGGCTTGCCTTCAGAGGCCCAGAACTAAGCCTGCCCTGCATGTCTGTATCTATCTCTATCCTGCTTTCTAATCTCCTTTCCTGGTCTGGGAAAAGGTTACTTTAGGCTAGGCTTCTTTGTGATGAGTGGGCTCAGAACAAAGCCTATCTGGAGACCCTGAAAACCCTGTCAAAGGATAGGAGCTAATTGGGGTAGGCGATAAAGAGAACTGTGACTTGTTGGAGGATGCCAATGAAGAGGGTTGCTGCCATCCACTTTGCAAGTAGAAACTTCATCATTGCAGAAAGCGTTCAAACTTTCTGAACTTGTTTTGGATTTTTCGTTTTCTGCATCTTTAGATTTCTAATTTGTCTGGACTATTGACCAGATTTTAACATCCAAGGAAACCATTTTTTTTTCTGTTCAAAGTTACGAAACATTGCAGTTGTATTCTCTGTTAAGTACTATCCCTAAAATTTTCCCAAAATTCACTTAAATAGTATGATTGCAAAGAACATCCTTATAAACAGGCATGCTTAATCAGAGGTCTACGAATTTAGAGGGAAAATCTACATTTTTACTTATATTAACCTGGAGGTTCTCAAACTTTCTTGGCTTACAACATCTTTAAACATCTCAGTTTTTTTTTTCTATGATACTCATAGGCCAAAGGAAATAGCCAACAGTTTTGTTTATTAGGTGGTTAAGCACAAGCAACAGAATAAGTACCAATGTCTCAACTGTGTAGCTGTCTGAAAAAACATAAGAATATATTATCCTTACATAACCAATAGTTACTTTTGTTTTGGCAGAGTCTCACTCTGTTGTCCAGGCTGGTGTGCAGTGGCGCAGTCTCGGCTCACTGCAACCTCTGCTTCCTGGGTTCAAGTGATTCTCATGCCTCAGCCTCTGGAATAGCTGGGATTACAGGC